CGTGACACGATTAAAGATATCGATCAAAAATAAAAATATTATTAGCTTAACTCATCTATTTCATCTATCACATTGTCTGGAAATCCTTCCATGTGACTTATCTTTTTTTTACAATATATTCAGCCTGTAGTACTGTTAATCCTTTTCTGTAACAATCCATAAATCTTGAGGCTCTCACCACATACTTTCTAATTTTGTTTCAATGATATAGGATCAAAAGCATTGGGGATATTCTCTTGAAGACCTTTCCATGTGTAATTACAATGTTGTCTAACATACCATTTAGCAGTCCCCAAATACATTTAAGTGTAGTTAAACTTTGGGTAGAAGATGACTTTATGTCCTCTTCAATTAATTCTTGAAGTAAGGGTTTTGGTTTTTAAATCATCTTGGGTTGCTAAGATATGTCTAGCACAACAAGTCAAAGGACCTTCAAGAGAAACTTTAAACAAAAAAATTGAATGGGATTATTTTATATTCATAAATTCAATGCAATTATTATTATCAAGATTTATTGACAAAAAAAAAAACGCGTGAAATTTTTTTTTTTAATTTTATGGATGAATTATATCGCATGATTTACCAGAATTAAAAATCTATTTTATGAGTGACTTAAGGCAGGCCAAAATTACATGTTTCAAATTTTATATATGACATAAAAATTACATGATTTTAATGAGCTTACAACTCCTGAACCAATAATTTTCTCGACAATAGATTGTAGAACTAGTCAAAAGCTATCAAATATCGTCTCAATAATTTTTTGATAAGCACACAATATTTTCTTTTTTAGGTTTTAAAGTTGGTCAATTTTTATTTGATGGGTTATTGTGGCGTGCACTATACAACATAATATTACCAATGGAAAGATTCGCCTTCGATTGAAAGATCCACTTGTATGCTAGGTAGATTCAATGGCTTATCACATTACGCACTGTATTAAGATTATTTTTCATATTTAATATTAACCATTAATTATTTTGATCTTACTCTTTATTACTATAATACTTGGGGTTGGTGAATAAATATGTGATAAAGATCGTATTTTTATATTTAATTGTTTATTAAATCATTATCTCATGATATTATTAATTGCATACTGATGTTGTTGTTATTATTATTCTTAAGATGATTTAATTTAGTCAAAAATTGATACTTGGAGTTATAGCAAGATTATATTTTATTGTTTTTTTATTACATACTATCTTGTTATATTTTTAGATATCCAAACATCAAGATTCAATTAAAGAGTTGGCAGATAAATATGAGGCGAAGACTACAATCTTATATTTGATTATTAATTGTTTACACATTCATACTATAATGTCGAATTATGTCATATCACATGAGAATCAGTGATCCAACATGGCTTAGAATAGTCTCACAAAAGTGATTCAAATAATGGTATTTTAATATTCATAATAAAAATACTTCACTAATCAATGATCTGAATTTTATGAATTAGACTAGACATCTCATCAAGAGAATTCGATTGGTAATTCAAAACAGCCAATATTGACCAAGTTATGGTAATTGACCATTTGATTTTTAATTCGACTTTTGGCCTCTTAAGTTAAAATATTTCAACTTTTGGGCTTTGATTTTGATTTCATGTATAGTTCATACTGTATTTTGTATTTTTTATTTGTATTTTTCAAAAAAAAATTAAATAAACAAATTTTTATTTTTAAATCTACTATAATTTTCTGTTGATTTCAGTAACTAAAATACGTTTTGCCATTAATTAAAACAAGTCTTACCATTAACTAAAATACGTTTATTCAGTATTATTTCCGTGTTGATTCCGATTGGTATGACTCCGTACTCTTGATACGGAAATTTGCATATTCCCGTACTTTCCATACTAATACTAATATGAACCGTTAATAATTTTGTTTCATTTGGTCCTATAATAATAACTTGAGTTTTTAAGATATTTTTATTGAAACCAAATGAAAAAGAAATAAAGAAAAACAAGGGAGAGAAGATGGATAGAATAATCGAAACTATTGAAAAAGAAAGGCAGTTAAAAAATACCACAGAGATGTAATAAAGGATTGGAAGAAAAAGGAGAAAATGATCCAAAGTTAAAGATTTTTTTGGAGTTAACTTGCTGGATGTGAAAGAATATAACCAAGAATTAGAAGACCAAATTAATTTAATTGATTTTAATCAGCACAATCATAAAAATCCTGAATTTATTGAAAGAAAGATCAAAGAAATTTACAATGATCCCAGATATGGTTGCTTGCCAAAACTCATACAGTAGAGTTACACACTAATTATTTATTAGAGTTTCGCATTTGGAAGTTTTGGCAATTTGCAGAATTTCAGCAAGGTACACGCTAATTGTTTATTAGAGTTTCGCAGAGTTTCAGCAATCATTAAGAGGTTTCGGCAAGCAACCTTGATCCCAGGACAAAGAACTGGTTGAAAAAGGAGAATTTTCAGTCATTTGTTTTAAAATATTGAAAAAAATCAAGCCTTGGAAGAAGCTTTTTTACCAGTTTTTGATTCACAACAAAATACTGAATTATTCAGTAAAGGAGTGGATTTATTCTCATTGCTACTACTTCTACCTATGAAACTGAAAAGTTGTCAGACCCTTTACTTTCTTGCCTAGATTTGGTTAATGCAGATACTGCTCAACCAAAAAATATATTCTTGGATAAGTATTTTTACTGATTTTTAATGGCTTCACTTCTAATTAATTTGGCTTTGCTACTGGTTCCAAAAAAATGCAAGCATAGAATTAGATGAAGATGTAATTGTTGAGTAATATTACTGATGTTAAAAATTCTGATTCCCTGAAATTCTTGGTAATACAATTTGGCAGCACGCCCCTTATGTTTATGATAATACTTATATCTAACGTCCAGTATTATATTTGCTAGAAATCACTCCATATTGGAGCATAACATGCATGACCTATGTAGATATAAAAAAAATTGTATCTTCTCTTTCAAAAAAAAATTAAAAAAAAAAAATAAAAAAAATAAATAAATATAAACTAAGAATTGTAATAAATATATGATGATGAACGTGGTGACACAGGCTTTTTAATTTTATTTGTAAAATCATAAACAAGAGCAAAAACCTTTTTATGGTTTTATTCTTTGTGGCTTAAGGAATAAGCTGGCAGAGAGTTTTTTAAATTTAATCAGTAAAAAAAGGACTTATAAGGATTAAAAATTTTCCTTTTAAAGAAACCGTTATTTATAGTAAAGGAACACTAACATTGATTGATCTATTTCATAAAAAAATTTTTAATTACCAAACAAAAAAAATAAACTTGGATGCAGTGTAACTAACAGTTTTTTTATCAATTTTACTGGAGAAACTCAGACCCCCAAAGTTTTTTTTTGTGAAAAAAATTTTAAATATCGATCATTGACTATTTAGGAAACAACTTTGAATTTTTGAACCGTTTCAAAAATCTTGTGCTACAAACTTTTAAAGTCAGGTGATCATTTTATTTGAAATCCTAATAAAATATAGGGAATAAATTCCATTGAGAAAATTATTGAGGAAATTAATTAGCTTATCTCTACCTTCACTAGATTCATAAAGAATTTCGTACCCATATATAAAAGTGGCGCCACGTTACTAATTAATTACACTGATTGATTCTTTTGATGCAATCGAGGACCTGAGCTAAACTTTTAATATTTGGTAGATAAAACGTACACTTTGTTAAAAATTATTTAATAATCATATTAATATTAGTATTAATATTATCGAATTTTGTATAGTGCGGTCACACTAACCCGTCAAATAAAAGTTGATCAATTTTAAAGCTAGATAGGGAAAATTGAACACTTATCTGAAAAATAGAGATGATATTTGACTAGTTCTACAATTCATTGTCAAGATAATTTTAAAAAAATTATGCTTTTAAAAATCATATGTTTTTTTTATATGTTACATATAAATTTCGACGATGGCTATTCTATTTTTTTTCCAGATAAGCATTCAATATTTCCCTATTTAGCTTTAAGGTTATTTGATGGGTTATAGTGACCCGCACCGTACACTATAAGTTTAGGGAATCTTCACTATGCTGGTTTCACTAAAAAGGGGAGGCGGGTTTTTAGTGTATCAATTATGCATGCAATAAAAAATATTATTATTATGATTTTTTTTATGATATTCACTTTTGCCAACAGTTATTTGGTACTGATTGTGTGATAATTGTCAATTATGCATAATGCATAAAATCATCGTCCCTTCCCCGAGGCAAGTGTAAAGAATTTTCTGGTTGGTGAAACGAAATGTCTTGGGACTTGAAATAAATAAAAGTTGTAGAGAATTAATTATCTATCTAATCCATATTTTAAACCTTCTTAATAACATGTATTTAAAGCTTCAACATCCTACATTAAATGATAAAAAATATGTTGTCAGATTGAATAAGCACAGTTTCTTAAAAAATGATTGATTGTATTATTTTAAAGTTTTTATTGACATGAAATTTCAAATGCAAAAAAATAATTCTAGACGTCCTAACACGCATTTGAGCCAACCGTCGAAAGATAGATTTGATTCCTCATGAAGCTCTGTCACGGCAAATAAACTCGCAATAACATAAAGTGAACACTATCAAAAAAAAAAAATTAGTAATGAAACAAAAAATAAGAAAGAACTCCGAATTTGAAAGAAAATTTAATTGACAATCCGTAAGAAATGTCGATCAATTTATCATGCTTTACGCAAAAACTTTATTTTTGTGAGTGAAATTATATTATATATGCAGAAGTATATTTATAATATCCTCTAATAGATCATTGCCAAAAATAATCTTGAAAGGATAGGAAAAAAAATTTACACTTAAATTTTTTAATTTGTGGAAGGGAAGGTGTTGCTTTGGTCACAATAAATGATCCATTTGATATTGAATTATTATTTGAATGGATTTCTGGTGATGATGAAGATTACTGACATCCACAAATAAAATTTGTCATTTTTTCATTTTTTATTAATATTGTTATTTTGATTACCATTTAATCACAATAACTTTTGCAGTCAGCAGTTGAAAGTATATGCCAAGTGTTCTTAAGTCTTTTAGTCACACACCTTGATTCTCTTATATTTAATATAAAATATTCTGAGTAGGTCCCATCTAATTTTTCCAGCAATTAATGTTAATAAAAAGTCAGACATCATTAAGAAAAAAGTATCCTTTTCAAATCTATTATCATGTTTTTTATAGAACTACCATTCATCAAAAATTGATTGCCCATTGTTTATCTGCAATGTAAAAATCTACCATGCCATTTTTTTGTAAACAACCTTCCAACTGATGGTGACAACTAAAAATCTGGTGGAAGGTAATCATATTCCACCCTATAAAATTCCATACACAATGGAAATAAGTCACCATTTGTATATTATGAATTAATATATTTGGATCCATTTTGGTCAAGCTTTTTGCAACAAAAGCCTGAAATTTCTGTTGCTTCTTTAATTAATTTCTGAGTTTGCCACTCTATAACTAGTTAGTTTAATTTAATAAAAGTTATCAGGAAAAAAAAGTAACTATAATCAGAATTAGCATAATAATTTCACATCTTGGTCTAACCTCTACTAAGTTACTCATTTGAGTGGCTTTACTAAATTACTCTTAATGGAATGGTCTTTTGACAATCAAATTCAGATTAAATGAATTCATAATCATCATCCTAAATACAAGTAATGATTGGAATGGTTTACTTTCATTTCTTGTTTTGCATTTTGATGTCATATGAAAACACTATGCTGTGATACCAAAATCACCATCAGATTTTTTAGGGTGATTAATGTTACCTTTACTACATGAAGCCTTGCTCTCAGTGATTCACAATACCTTGGATTCAATAAAATTTCATACGTTGGATGTCAGACTACCAGTTCAATTGATGGTGTTTTATAAAAAAAAATAAAAAAAATACATACATATTATTGAAACAATTTCTATGTTTTTACAATGCAGTACACCTAGTCACTACAACTTTTATCGGTCTTGCAGATCATTTATCTCTTCCAAAATGGAAATGCATGACCAAAAAAACAAGATGTAATTTTGAGACCTTTCTCTACAAAGTTACATCTTCATTTTGTTGATATATCATTGTTGGTGTGGAGGAATAAAGTACAAGCTTAACAAATTTACTATGTTACCCCCCAAAGTGACGTGTTACACGCAAATTTTTTATATTAAAAATGAACGAGAATCGAAAATTTGAAATTTGTATGGTTGATCTTTATCACGTGATAGCAGTCAAGAAAAAATCTAACTATATATATTAATATCATATTAACTTATATTAACTTAATTATCTATAAGTACATATTATCTGGGTAAAAATTCCGCACTTCACAAAAACGTGACAATAAAAATTTTTATTGCATTTTTGATTGCAAGTTTTTTCTCAAAAACGTCAATGTGGCGCAGAAAGTTGTAGGGACTAGGTGTCTTGCGCTATACAACTTTATCAACAAAAATAATTACTAAAATGTTCCCATCTTAGTCAGAATCATTTACAAAGGCCAAACACAAGATTGTTATATTATTTCTTATCAGTTCCAAATGATTTTATAAATTATTAATGCAATATTTATGTTGACGATCTATATTAAATTTGCGATGGAATTGAACCAGACGGTGCCTTTTGACACTTTATCATAAAGAAATTTATTGATTTTTCATGAATCAATCATTTATTATTAGAAAAAAAAAATCACTATGCAAAGCGAGTAGTATAATTTCTAATTTAAATATATTATAATGAAGAGTTGTATATTATAGTGATGGCATTAACTCACAATTGCTTTTTTCAAGGCGCATACGATCAACCTTTCATTTAAAAAAGAAGCATTTTTTTGACAATTGTACAAAATTTTGCATAAACATAAAAAAAATTTTTTTACAACTAAAATTTTTATATAATGATAAATTTTACATGCATGCATGTACCAATTTGTAGCATGTGAAAATTTTCTTAATATTAAAATTTTTAATTTTTTAATTGAGAAATTTACATGCATGAATATTCATTAAGGGGTTACACATCAAAAAAGTCCAAAACACTTGATTTTGAATATTCATAATCACTCACTAGCCAGGAAGGAACATAAAAAATTTTAAATATACTACATTTTTGAAAACTACAATTATCAAAAGTGGGTGAGAGTTATTTATTTTTTAAAATACTACTAACCTCTTATATCCATGTACTGCCATAAACAGGTGTGTATGGGAAGTATGGGCTTTCTATTAACGGTCGACTTTCAAGATGCACATCTAAAAAAGTCTTTGGGGAAACCAAGAATTTGTTTTGGTGTGTTCACAACATCCACGCGTCTTACTAGTGTATTCCTCAGTGCTGATGATCTTGCACCAAGAATATTGCGGAAGAAGAAAGATTTACATTGTCCATCGATCAATAAAATAAATAAATTTTTGAGACAAAATATTTTTGATTATATCTCGTAATCACAATGAACCAATTTTTTGGTTTTTGAAAATAAACATTTTTCAAAAATAATCGTTAACAAAATAAATGGATGACATCAGCAACAACAATAACAAAATAATAATAATGACAAGTAAAATAAAACAAATATAAAAAGTTCAAAACCCATCATCGTTACCAACCATATTATTTACTCGGCACCGCCATAACCATCACCACACCATACCATGCCATCATCAGCAGTGCAACTACAACTACAACCACAACTACCGTTATCACCACTTCAACTTCAACTACAACCACAACCACAACCACAACCACCATTACCACCACTTCAACTCTTCCCATTATAATAAATAAATAAATAAAATATAAAATGAAAAATAAAAAAACAACAATAATAATCATAATAATCACAGCAATAATAGGATTAGACTGGTAGCACTGGTGGTAGCACTAATCATTTTTTAAATTTCTATAAAAAAATCCATTCCAAAAAAGATTTACTGCAAATACCTCACGCGCAAGTCTAGGCAATCGCATTTTTACGATTCATTAAAAAACCTTTAATTTATAATTTATTTATTTATTGTAAATTATTTATTTATTTGTAATATTTATCTACCCGTGACATATTGCGATATGTACGGACGGTTTTGCTGGACGTACCCGTGTTATTTTTTTCGCGCTTACATTTTTTCAATGCTATTTATAGATATTAAACTTTGTTTTTCGTAGATATAATTGTTTGGTTTTACAAATCACAAATCACAAATTACTTCTTAATATATATATATTGCGCGATATAGCACCCTAACTAGGATTCGAATATAGATCTCTCTGGTTTAGGAAGGCAACACACATATACACATTCATTATTAAGCTTTTTTTGAAAGAGTAAAAGCGTTTACCCTTAAGCATAACTCACATTCGATTTTCTGTTGTACATTATCCCGTGAAACAAAAGAAATACTTTTTGGAAATTTTTGGCTAGATTGTTACAATTATTATAGTCCTAAATTTGAATCGAGTATTATAATTTTGTTATTGTTATTTTTATTATAGTTTATTATAAATAATGAATCGGGTCCCCGGATTAAGTTTTAAAGTTTTTGAAAACAAAAAAAAATCAAGAAAATCAAAATTCTCTCTTTTTAGATGTAATTATCCTTTATTGGTCGTTGGTTTTATTACATTTTTATTTATACTGAGAAAATAGAAAACACCAAAAATTTTTCCGAGAATTATAACATATTATTATTATAATAAGATACGAAAAAGTTTTCTTAATTTGTTTTAATTAAAACATGCAATATATATGTATGCTTTCCTTTCAAGCTTACCAAATTGAATTCATTTATTTGTTCATTATTTTTTTGGATACAAGATGGCATATTTTTGCATAATATGATTATTTACTTTGAGAAATAGAATGAATGCCGAACCTCCAATGTAATTAACAATAATGTACCAATTAGTTCCTTCAATTATTTTCTTTGTTATTATATTTTATTTGTGTGGAGTGCGTGCGTGCACGTGCGAGTGAGTGATTTATTGAGCTGATGTGGGTATGTGCGTACGTCTAAAAGAGTTGTGGCATTTATTTGTTTTGAATACTTGCAAATTTCTAATCTTTAATAATAATGAAAATTTCTCGATTTGGTAAATTTTATAAATTTAAAAAAGTATGTTTGAAAAGAAAAAATAAAAGAAAAAACTTATTTTTTTTTAAAAAAACCAAAAATATTTCGTTTTTTTTTAAACCACATGTGAAAAAATAAGTTTTTTCTATATACTTTAATTTATCGGATTTTTTGATGATTTGCAAAATAAATAAAATAAAATTTAATATTAATAATAAGAGAGAAAAAAGATCAGTAAATATAACGATTTATTTGATTAATTTATTTATTTTATTTATTAAATACACACTAACACTTATACTTATACATATAAATATACATTAATATAAATAAATGTAATTTTCCTTTTTTTAATTACTAAATTAAACTAAATAAACTTTTACTTCAGAAATTTTATTCTCTCTTAAAAAATAAAATAAATGCTAATGGAGGAACCTACGCCGAATTTACTAGAATTAGAAGAAAAAACCATATTTGATGCATCAAAAGCTAGCGAGCTCATAGATAAATTTCTATCATCATATATTCATCAAAAGGAAAAAACCATAGCAGAAGAAACTGAAAATTATCCCCTACCAGGTCATATGATGGCACCATCATATATTTCGCGTTTACCAACTGGCTCAGAAATCGGCATATATCTTGCAATGGGATTGAGTGGTACAATTCTAAAGTTAACAGTGGTAAAATTGTTAAGTCGTGGTGAAACTGAATTAGAACACGACAGAGAATTAAAGATTCCTGATGATTTGAAAGTTGGAACTGTTGATAATCTATTTGATTGGATTGCGTTAAATGTTAAAGATTTAGAATTACTTGTTAGACAGAGTATCATTAATAAAATCAAAAACAAAATCAAAAATAATGAGAATGATGATGATGATGAGGATGATAATAATAACAACAAAAACCAAAAAAACAACGATGATGATGATGATGATGATGATGATGATGGTAACAACAACAATAACGACGAGAAAGACAATAACAACGACGACGACAATGTCGATGATAATAAAGAATTATTATTGTATATGGGAGTTAATTATAATTTTCCAATAAGGTAAAGGAAAAAATTATTTTTTAATTAACTTTCTTAATTAAATGGCCTTTAATTGTTTTGATCTTTTTTTTTAAAAAAGAAAAATTGGAGTAAATGAAGGTATTGTTGTTGCAGGGATAGGATGTGAAACGACTGAATTAATTGGTAATAATATAGTTGAATTATTACAGGCTGCATTTATTCGAAAGGTTTTTTTACCATATATATTCTTCTAATATTAATTATTAACATGTTATATATTTTATAGGAAAAATCTTGTTCATTTTTATTCATTTTATCCATTTATTATTTATTCATTTTATCCATTTGTTATTTTTTTTTATTATATATATAAAATAATAGGGAGTAAAAATTCAAATTGTAGCTATAGTTGATGATGTTGTTGGTGTATTAGTAGCGAACGCTTACAAAGATCAAAATACAATCATATCAGCAATTATAGATGACTTCAGAACAAATGCTGCCTGTATTTGTACATCGTCATCAATAATAAAAGAAACTCAAAGTCATCAACATCATGTACCAGAATATATGATTGTAAATACTGAATGGGGTTCGATCGGTACCGAGTTTTTACCTTTTATAAAATATGATAAAATTCTTTCCAGTCAACATCAAAAACAACATAACGGAACTTCTGGTTCGAGAAGACGGCCATTTGAACAAATGATTGCTGGTGTTTATTTGGGTGAATTGGTAAGATTGACTATCGTAGATTATGTGAAAGTTTTTAATTTGTTTGATGGTGTGTCACCTACAGGAATGGACATACCTTATAGTTTTTCATCTCTTTTAATGTCTGAAATCGAAAGGTATTATATATTTTATTGTTAATTAGACGTGTTTATTATATTAAACGCGTTATTAATATTAATTCTTATTTTGCAAAATTTATTTAAGTGATCAATCATCAGAAAAATCTGATAGTTTAAATGCGTTATTAAACAATTTTGAATTTTCCAAGAAACCAAGCAAAGAAGATCTACAGACAGTACATAGAATTATAAAGAGTTATTCTAGACGTTCGGCTCAATTGTTTGCAATAGCTATCGCTTCATTAATCAAACTTCAATGTCCAGAATTTCCATCTGTTGAACGTAATGTTGTAGTGGCTGTTGATGGATCTATATATCATAATCATTATGAATATTCAAACCGGACTAGCAAGTTTTTAAGAGATTTTCAAAATATTCAAAAAGATGAGAAAATTAAATTATCACCTATAAAGGATGGTAGTTGTACAGGTGCTGCTTTAATTGCTATGATGTATTCTCATTGATTAAAAAAATCGATTCTTTTTTTTCATAGTAATTTATTATTAATAAAATGAAATTATACACCTTTAAAAATATTTAAATGCAAAAAATTGATCTGACAAAAAAAATTGCTTTCAATTGTTTCAAGTTGATGGATTTTGTCTAATTGATCTTTCATTCCAATTTAGGATTTTGTTTATATTGTAAAACCAATCATTTGAAGATTCTTCACGACTAATTGTTAATAATGGATACATTGAAGAGGTGACTTGAATTGATTCATTTCTTTCAAGATTTATACGATTACGTCCGTCAAATGATGCCTGTAATTATTATAATAATTATAATTATTTATATATTACCTTTTTTTTTTAAAAAAAAAATTTTGCATTCTTACCCAACCAGCGACTTTGCTAGTATTAGACACACGTATTTTTAATTTTTTAGATCCAGGTATAATCATTGGTCTTGTGGTTAATGTATGTGGAGCAATTGGTGTTAATAATATTGAACCTTGATCAGGATGAACCAATGAACCACCCGCTGATAACTGATTATTTTAAAAAACATTAACAGTTAAACACATTAAATATATCAACAAAATAGAAAAAAAAAATTTACATACCGAGTAAGCCGTAGAGCCTGTAGGAGTAGCTATAACCAATCCATCTGCTAAAATCGAAGTAATTTCACAATCATCAACGAACTAATTTCTCCCCAAAAAAATTTATTTAAAAATTTATTTAAAAAAAAAAAAACCCCCCCCAAAAAATCTTTCCTTCTTTACCAATTGCAATTCAATTATAGTGCCATATGCACCTCTGTCAACAACTAATTCGTTTACTACATTAAATGTTGTTATATCATCATCATCATCATCATCATCATCATCATTTGTTCCTTCTATACATTTACCACCTTTTTCTTTTTCTCCATTATTATTATCATCATCATCATTATTGTGGTTTTTAAATATTTTACATTCTAATCTTGTTCTAATCGTCATATTAACTAATTTATTTTCAATGATATTTTTCAATGTGTTTTTGTAATCATCAAATTTAAAAACTGTCAAAAATCCCAAGGTACCAAAATGAAATGGTAAAATAGGTGGAATTTTGTGAATATTTCTATGCTGGTATAACCATGAAGTATGTAGTATTGTACCATCTCCACCTAATGTAATTATTAAATCGATTAGAGATAATTCTTTTTTACCAATAAAGTATTTTACTCTTTTTGAATTGGAAATCAAATCTGTATTAGGATGAAATAAAGAATCGGTTTTTTCAATATAAACAGTTATTTTATCATCATCATCATCATCACCATCACCGTTATTGTTATTAGTATCGTCATCGTTGTTATTTTTATCAAAATTTGATTCAATCAACCAATTAATCAATTCTAACCTGTATTTGATTATTGTGTTATCATTGATTTTTGTTATGACTAAAATATTTTTAATATTGTCAAGGCATGTTAATTTATTATAGATTGATTTTAAGTTGTTGACAGCAAGCATATGAGTATTCAACAAATCTTTAATGTTCATTATATCATTTTTGTTGATTGACTTGAAATGAACTTTATTTTTACTCTTGGTCAATCTTTTAAAACTATGAACATCATCGTCGTCTAATAACATCAATGAATGACATTTGATATATGATAAAGTTAATATTATAATACCATTAATAAATAATAATAATAATAATGATGATGATGATGATGATGATGATGATGATGATGATAAATTCCACCTTTAAATTTTATCCAATCTCCATTTTCAATTTTCCATTGAATTATATATTTATCATAATCGAATTCTTTGAATAAAGTTGTAAATTTGTTTACTATTTCACGATATTTCATCTCACTTTCTATAAATAAATAAAAATCATTAAACTTTATATTCTTATTATATTTATCACAACATCGACGACGACTATAATACCTTTCAATATAGCATAACGAGTTTCTCCTTCATGCATTAGTGTTGTTTCAAATTTAATTTCTTCGTTTGAATTCATTTTTTTGAAGCGGAATGATTGAAGTGTGCCACAATTTTAGTATAAATTTTTATGAACATGTTTCGTGTTTTATTATTTTTGCTATCACCATGTAACTATGATGAATAAATCGACGAAACATTAAAAAAAGCAATTAAAGAAAAAGACAAAATGGTTATTATTATTCAGTCGATGAATCAGAACAAGATGAAGATAGATATGAGGAGTTGAAAGGAAATGAGGAGGGGGGAATTGAAAGTAATTTATCGGAATAATTTTCTATTTTGAGTTTTATGTATATTGTGAATTTGAATTTACAAACCAATATCATTTTCAATTGATGAAAAATTACTTGTCAATCGTGATAATAATGATGATATCAGTGAAGAGAATGATATCGCTAATGAAGGTATGATGAATTGATTTTGGTTTTTTAGTTATACATAATTAATCTTAGATGTCAATTAATTAATTAATTGCTAAAGAACCCTCAAAAAAAGAAACATTCTCGTCGTCATCATCATCATCAAAGAAGATAGTTTAGCAAGATTCAGGTTGAAAGCCCGCAAATTACGTGATGACTGAAGAAGAGGATTGATGCCAGATGTTCAATATGAAATACGATTAAGAAATCAGTAAAGTAAAACATATATTTAAACAGCTTATGCCCTTGTTTTCTTTTTCAAAATCATCGAAACTTTTTTTAATTAAAGCCTCTTCATAAAAATCTATATATATAATATATATATAATAAATTTAGATTTGAGAAACTTAATTTAGCACTTAATTGGGCAACTCTTCCTTCAAAATTTTTTCCAATAAAATAAAAAAAGAAAATTGCCAGATCCGAATATATCTGATGATGATGATGATGATGAAAAAGAAGAAGAGAATGTTATTACACAGGATCATATAAAAAAATTATCAAATAAAAAATTTGGAATAGCAACAGTGAAAATGCTAATCAACAAGGTCATTCTAAGGTTATTATTAATTAATTCTTTAACTATTATCAATAAGAAAATTTTTTTAAAGGGAGTAATTTGATAGAAAATTTTATCCTAATGCACAAGCATTAGTGATAGCAAATTTAGTTAGACAAAAAAATTAAATAGTTTCAGGTTGGTTTCAATCACTACTACAATACTATTATTATCATTTTGTCATAAATAAATAATAGTAATAATAATAATAATATTCAAAATAATTGTTTTATTTTATTTATTTTCTCTAAAGATTGATTGTAAAATAAATCCCAAGATTCAATGAATGATGTTCAAAGATTTAAAGCAAGCTTTTAATCCAAGTGGAAAAGAAATCATAATAACAGGCAAAAAAAATTTTATATTTATTATATTGAAAGTGATGTAATTGAAAGACCTAGAGAAATCCATGGATTTAAAGATAAATCACTTGAGAATTTTCCAATATCACCATGTGGACAATATATTGCATTTGTTGGAAATAATGGATATATAATATTGATAGGTTATAAGACAAAACAATGAATTACCAGTTTGAATGTAGATGGTTTAGTAGGCTCAATTGATTGATCTAGTGATGGTCAATATTTATTTTCTGTTAGTAATGATGCTGAAGTTTATCAATATTTCACAGATCAAGTACTGGTGTTTATGTTTAACCATTAAAACCATTGAAATCTTTTATGAATTAACAACTTTTGTTTATGATATGAAATGATCCACAAACATTAGAAATGGTAATGCTGGATTTATTTTAATTGATTATATTTATCTATATAATTTTAATGATATTTATTTTATATATTATTAGTTTCATTTACCATCTCTTAATGCATTTCCAAATTGGCCAACTTTTCCAACTCCATTAAGTTTTGTTCAATATTTTGATTTTTCACCTGCTAGTGGTTATTTAACAGTTGCAACAATAAAGGTAAAATTTTTTATGCAGGCTAAAGGATTATCCATTTGCTTAAAAGGTTATAATTATTGTTGTTGTCTTTATTTTATTAGATAAATATCATATAGATATAACTCTCATCTAAGATCAATAATAAAATCCAAACTAAATAGTTTGTTTTTTTTTTGATGTCCAATACTGGTTTTACTAAATTAACTTTTTGCCACCAAAAGTGATAGATTCCTACTCATAAATATAATTTGTTTTGATATGGGGCATGCTGCAACAAAACCAGACAAAGTGAACATTGGTATTACCAAGAATTTCAGGGATCAAAATTTAGTAATGTGATTATTAAAATCTTCCATTTGTTATCCTCTTAATATTAGGTGATATATAGAACTACTCCCATATAAAAATAAAAATAATATGAAATTAATTTATATCAGATCTACCATGGAACCCAAGAATTATAGTACTATCATGTAATAAATTGTTTGCTTTATTAGTATAATAACGTTTTTCTTTAAATTCAAAGACAAGGCGGGCACGGTGATACAAGATTATTTTATGTGCGACGCGTGCGTTACAATACTTTACATTGTACGCGACCGAATCGCGTACAATTGTTATTTTCATTGTTTGGATACAAGTTGCAAATTAAGCACTGGAGCTTTCCAGAAAGTCTTAAGAGACCAACCTGGTTATTAATAATATTTATTTATTTATTGTATTTTTATTATTATTATAAATTGTATAAGTATAAGCTTTCCGTTTTATAACTTTTGTAACTTGTATTTAATTAAAACACTTGGTCTTGTAAGGAAAAGAGGTTTCCTTACATATCAGAAGTATTTTGAAGAAAGGACAAGGTGAAAAAATTGCCCCTTACATTTTCAAAATAAATGATGCTCAGGCACTGGAAATGTCTGCAAATATTTTCCACAATTGTCTGCAAATGCTTTCTATTTCTACAATTATCCTCAGATAAAATCAAAGTTTATCTAAATAAAGTTATTTCTATAGTTATGTTTCCTAAGACTGTTTTTAATAGCAGAGATGAAATATGAAATAGATAAAAGAACTTGATATTTTACAAAAAAAAAAAAAAAAAGGTTCCCAAAAAATCAAAAATTTTCCATACCATCTTTTCTTCAACAAAAGGAGAACCTCTCCATAGAAGAGGTTCTTTATTGATTATTTGAACTTGAGAATACCAAAAATTGGTTTTTCTTAAAAAAAGAATGCAATTGGCCAGCAATTGTAAACAATCATCACTCCTAAACTAAAAAAGATGATGAATCATTGTATCTGATTTCCTTTTTTATGCTAACTTAATACCTGATTGATGTTGAATCAAACTTATTTACACAATTAATCAACATCAATTGACACTACACCCGATCAGATGCCATTCTTCAATCAAAATCAATATTAAGAAGTTTATATATAAAGAAAGAATTAAAAAAGCAGGTAGCATTATCAATGCTCCTATAAAAAAAATAATCCATGATTTGAATTATAATTCCAGAGGAGAAACCATGGAATTTTAAATCATGATCAGTTTTTTTTACAGGGTGTAAGTATAATCATAAGCTTAATAAAATTTTATTTTTTTTCAATATATATTTTAAGATTCATTTCTTTGCAAATTCAAAGTATTTATATTATTCTATCACTCTAACTTGGCGAAGGTGAATCCACATGTTTCTCATACTCCATTGGATTGATACTACATGCTTTTTTGCCAGTGGGTTTTTGAGGGGAATGTTTAATATGGCGAATATATCTTTTCAATGCTGAAGCTTGAGAATGCAAAAAGTGAATTGCGATGGTGTGTTTTCTTTAATTCCTCAAGTACATTAACACTGTCATTTAAGCCTCTCTATGTGCAAAAAAAAAAGAGATCTTCCGGAGAAAAAGAACAATAAAATTTTTTTACTTCAAAATTCCATAAGATCAGCAATGCACATAAAAGCTCATGGTGACTCTCCCAACTGATTGGAAGCTGAAAAGTACCAAGGAGAAACATGCAGTAAATTTTCTTGACAGGTAAGTCCATTCCCCAAATTTGAACATCTTTTCCTATTGGTAAGTGAAAAATACTTGGTTTAATTAATATTAAGAAATCAAAACTCAAAAGTACAGGCAACATTTTACTTACCATGTGTATGAAAAAACCATGTATGCAAGTACTTCATGTTCTTGCTGATCCAGCATCCATGAACATGATCTTTCAAATATTGAGGAAAATCATGTGTGTTATATCTGCCAGATAATTCTATCATTCCAATTTCAAGTGGGTTATCATTAACAGTTTGAAAAACTCCATCTATTTTTAATCCTAATGGTTTCATCAGGAAACTTTTCCTGCCATAATATTACATCCGTAAGTTTTAATATGAAATGTCATAATATTTTGCATAAAAAGGATGTAATATTTACACTGAATGTAATAATTGTGTAATTTTTGTGCAATTTTTGCATAATATTACACTATTTATGTAAGTTTATGGCGGGCCCCATAATATTATGTAAATTTGCATCAGAAAAAATTTCCTGATGTTATTATCTTCAGGCTTAAGATCATGTCAAACTAATCATTGATTTGCACTGGCTTGAAGATAAAATTCACCACTATTGTTTAAAAGCAATATTTTTCATTATTATGAGAAAAAAACTCTATTTGACACTAAAATCTGAAAACATATGGTATGTAAACTACATTGTGATCACATGTATTGGAGATATATTGTAAAACAGGATGCACCAAAAGAGTGCCTAAAATTGACTCTTGTTCACAAGGACTATGGAATGCACTGGAGGGATTAAATACTACATCTGCACTTTAAAATTAAATAAAATTAATAACAGGAATAATAATAACACTCCCATTCCCTGCACAAAAAAATACTTACAGCCACTTAAGGTTGTGGGCGAAACCTCCTTATTAATTGCTGAAACCACAGCAAAACTATATTAAATCTTATCAAAAATCCTGTTGAAATTATGCTGAAATGGCAAAACCTCAAAATGCGAAACTCTGCTGAAACTCTAATAAACAATTAATGTGTAACCTGCCAAAACCCTGCTGATTGATTTCTGGATGAGTTTTGGCAAGCAACCTTACAGCCACTGAAGTATATTTGTAGCAAATACCATTTGTTTATTTTTTATGTCAAATTTTGTATTATGGGGGCATTCCAAGTACTCTGTCAGGGAGTCCTGTAATTAGCTAATAATGAGGGTCAAATATATAATATTGCATTATCAAGAACTTTTTTAGACAATTACAGTTTCTAACAGGTTGTTGAAAAGCTTTTCCATGTCCAAACCTAGAGGATATTTGGGTATTTGATGCTTTTTTGTAGATATATCCAATCTTCATTTTCAATCCACTTTGGCTGTTGAATCCTTGATCCAAGTCATATGATTCCCATATATGATGGGCTATATGTAAATAAAATGCATAAGTTAGATTGAAAGGAAGGGGATGAAAGGAAGGATAAAAGAAAATAAAGATATAGAACTTACTGAGATTTGTGAAGAGTATGAGGACCACAAGTCACTTCAGTGAAAGACTTTCCTGAAGGCAATAGCCAAATGTCTGTTGGACTATCCTTGGTGGGATATGCTAATACAGATGTCATATTCTCTGACCTGAACTCAATAGGTGCAATGCTTGGACCCACTTCAATTCCAACTTCAAACTCATCATCATAGTCATCATTAACATCACAATAAGAATTTATTTCTGTTTCATCATTTGAATTTTCATCACCTGAATCAGCAACTTCTATGCATGGAGGAGTTCAAGGTTCAGTAATTGAATGTAGTTCTACATACTACACATAAAGAATAAGATTTAGATATGGAAGCAAAAACTGTGACCTTTTTTTTTTTTTAATATTAATGAATTATAGAAGTAAAATACTGAGTGTTTTTTTGGATGCTCATCATCAAAATTCTCTAGTTGTCTGGTAAGAGTGGCACATACAATTTGATCTTGCACAATTGCTGTTTTTATAACTTTGTTATGTTGCTCTGCCTATAAAAGCAGAAAAAAGGAAGTAAACAAATTTATTTCCACAATTCTATATACTTTGTTACATACAGATTTAGAGGTAATTACCATTAGAATATTACAATCATTAATCAGGTCTTGCATCTTATTATACCCCTTTACATTTTTGGTCCATTCCTAGGAAAAAAAAATAGAATTAACATAGTTCTTGGAATAAAATTAGATGCACTATTATTATATCAGTGTTGAATTTGAGAGAAGATTCTTGAACTAAGAGTTCATAACTGAACAACTAAGAGTTGTACAGCATTGCAGGAACTAAGGGTTCATAACCAAGCAACTAAGAGTTGCATAGCTTCTGCTAAGAAAGAGTAGGCATGAACTAAGAGTTCATAACTGTGTGACTAAGAGTGTTACAGCTTAACCATACTCTAACCTCTTCTCCCTTTTTTTTTTCAGTCTTTATTCTTAATGTTTCTTGTAAGCATACTTTCCAGTTGTTAAGTATAGATTGTGCTTTTTCCTTGCGTGTCATGTCAGGATCATTATTTGCAATTCATTTGAGATCTTTTTTTACATGACCAAGCACTTGTTTAAGATTATATTGTATATTATTTTCTTTGTAGTATTTTATAACATTCTCACATTTCCATCTACAAACATCAGTTTTAAAAAAATCCATGTAAATATATTTTTTTTTAATATTATTTTTTTCCAAAATTTTAACCCATGCCATTTGTTGATTGACCAATTAAAATCACGAATTTGATAAACATTGGGTTTGATTCATTTTGTCAACAATCACTTCACCAACAATTGTTTCATTAACGAATTTAAGAAGTTGGAAGAAATA